CTTACTGCCATAAAAAGTGTATGGTTTACTGCCCCAGGTTTGTGAATGTTGAGATGCTTGAATGTTGGTTCCTAAAAAATGTGAGCTAGCTCAGTAAGTTCCTCGTAGTCTCTAGTTACTGGTAATAGTGGTACATGTTTTTATTAATAAATATTTAACATTTGTTGCATTAAAACTTGAACATTTTAATGGCTAGAAAAATTAACCTGAAAATATTTGAAAACACCTTCATTAACAAGTGGCATTAAAAGATTTCTTTCCTCATCTGCTTGTTCTTTAAACTAAGAATGACAAATCTGTTGCAAATTGAAATGATCGATAAACTGTGTTATCATCAACATCAACAAAAGTACATCGCCAGGCCTGCTGACCTATGGTAACTGCTGACCCATAATGTTCCAAAATTATTTCTAAAACTCAATCTAATAAAATTGAAACCATTACTGAATAGTTTGTTGGATTAGCTCTCTTTAATAATTTAAAAAAAGAGTTTTTTTTTAAATTATTAAAAAAAAAAAATTGTTTATCTGAATATAGCACTACGAATCATTCCAGTTTTGGTAGCAGTAGTGTCAAAGAAAACCATTCTTACATAATCATCAATACCAAACTCCGTCAAAATCTCCTTGATAGCCGAAACCAATTTAGTCCTGTATGGGAAGAAACCCATGGAGCAAGAATAACATTAATAACATGTTTTGGAATTTAGATTTAAATAAATATGTAAGGAAAACTTTTCATTCTAATTAATTAACATAGTAATTATAAATAAATATATGAAAACCTTGATTAACTTTCAATCAAAGTGTAACTGAATTTTTATCTTATTTTGTTTAATCTTATTTTAAATTAGAACCTTATTACTATGAGCATCTTTGTTGATGTTATTTTTCATTTAAAAAGCATATGTATAAGAAAGAGATCTCTAGCTGCGGTGACAAGCTTAATTAATGTTACTAATATTTAATGAGCTGTTGTATCCATGCCTATAGCTATTCTCGGTCTCTTCAATAATCTTTATGTTGACAGCATTAGTTTATTTCCGCTTGTCAAAATTTCTTAGTGGACGTGTCTGTAATTAGTTTCTATTAGAACTAAGTACATTCATTTATAAAGTGTCTAGTACTTGGTTCTAAAAAAAATATTTTAGATAGATGTGCAACAATAATAACGCAAATCATTTTCTGAGTTGGACTGTGTACTTGGTTTTGAAGAAAATATTCCTGATGGATGAACAACATCAGTAATGCACACTTTAGTACCTCTTGAATGATTAAATAAACTTTCACAAAAACTTGTCTGTAACTTTAGTCTAAACCCATTTATTTCTTCTTTGTTTGATAAAAGATAGCCTCGAGTAGGCTATCTTATTGTGGTTTTTACCACAATAAGATAGCCTCCTCGAGGCTATCTTATTGTGGTAAAAACCTTCTTTCAACTCTTTAACTCCTAAACACAAACCTTTATATACAAGGCCTCTGTGCAGAAAAAACTACCTTCTTTTCTCTAGCCAACTTTTTCCCATTACTCATTTACATTTTAAATTAAATAAAATAATACTTTTAAATTTAAAATAAATCAGTACTTAAAGATTTCACATGAACTTTTTTTTCCACTTGCAGTTTAAAAATTTTTTTCAAAATAATTTGAAAAACTCTTGTTATAAATTATTAAATAACAATATATAAAATATATTTAAAAAAAAGTTAAAGTAGAAAATAAACTATTTTTCAATATCATTAAACAAAAAAACTTTAAAAAAAAGAAATAAAAAAATAAACCAAAAAAAACCTAAATTTACCCAAAAAGCCCACTGGACCAGTTTTTTTAAAAACCCACAGGTTTTTGCCAACCCTGTTTTAAGTCTTCATAAATTCAGTGCAAGATTGTGGACATCCTGCCTTACTGTTGTGCTGGTTCTTCTTGAGTTTTAAATATCTGTTAATATATTTTGCTATATTATTTTGCAGTGTGACAGGCCCAATAACTGAAAAACCAGATTTTAGCAACAGAAACTAAAGAACACCTAACTCACAGTGACTTATGCAAGATTTTTTGGTGTTTGAGATTAACTTCCAGACATTTAGCAATCCCTAAATATTTGCATGGTTATACTTATGTCAAATGATAATGCTTTGCAAAAAAATTGCGATGGTTACAGACTAAGAACAAGGCCCTTTGACTTCAACCCCCACCACCCCACCCCACACCAAATGCGATAGACAACAAGTTGATATAATTTTTTTTTTTACTTTTCTTAACTAGACTTATATTTATTGATTGATTTTAAGTTCATAGTAGTAACAGTAAAATTATTACTATTGAAAACTATTACTAGTATAAAAATTATTACTATTAAAATTTTTTTATATAATAAACACTTTTTAAGTACTTGAAAACTTTTAAGTTCATTGTAGTAACAGTATGATACTTCACTAATAATTTTGTATGTTAAAAAGTTACATAAAAAATTTTGAAGAAATTTGTAGCAAAAATATATTTATCAGAAAATTTATTCCAACAAATATAATTTTTTATGAAACTTTATATTAAACTATATTTGCTTCTCAATGCAGTTAAAATGTTAAATAAAAATGGTTCTTTGTAGGTGTAAGATCAGTTTTAACTAACTATTTAAAAACTATAAATTGAAAATGAAGTTGTTGCTAGGCGGACAAAATATAAGATGCTTATTTTGAGCACTGGGACCCATTCTTTTTATTAGATACAGAAAATGCTTGCTCGCTACTAGGAAGACATCTTAACTGGTTTACCCATCAAAAAATGTTCCTTGGTACTTACCCTTCTTTTCTTAACAAAATTTTTATACATTTTAGAATTTTTAGACTATAAAAAAACCTGTCACAAATCTTCATTTGAAAAAAATTGCACTAAACACATTAAAAAAACTAATTTAACACTGTTATTAATGATTAATTATATTAACTAAATATAAACAATTTTCTATAATTCTATAATTTTCTATATATTCTATAAATATTTTTCATATAAAAATCAAGAATAAAAATAACTTTAAACAAATGAAAACTTCAAATATCGATTTTGATGTATAAAAAAAATGAAATTAATAAATATGTTGTCAGTAAGTGTTAAAAACCATGTAATAACTTCTTTATGTGTGCCATATACAACATTTATCAGTTTTTGATTGTCTTGGATTTTAAAATGTGACTTTTAAACCCCCCTCATTTTGAGGGGGTTACAAATTTTACATGATCATAATTTTTGAACGCTGAGCGATAATACTATAAAACTTAATGATGAATATAAGTCTAATTGAGAATAGTACAAAAAAATTTTTAAACTTGTTGCCGCTCATATTTGGGGTGGGGTAGGGTGGCAATCATCCTTATTAAATATCTGATTTTCTGCATGTTTCTCGCATTGTTGAAATAACAACAAAATATTGTGATTTTATTGTTTGAATACTAAGTTTATAAAAAGATTAAATTAAACATTTAGCTAATTTGTATAAACGCTGATAGTCTAAAGAATAAAATAAACTTAAAAGTTTTGAGTCTGGCCAAAAGAGGGCTTACTTATTACATCTTTAAATTAGGTAATACAAAATTTCACAATAAACAAAAAAAAAAAAAGATCACAAGTTTACCCTCTCAGAGTCTAAATTTAAATAATAAATCAAAATAAGAAATTAAGTTAAATAAAAATCACAGCGTAAGAGCTTAATATCTCCTTCTTCTGTTCGTATAATGTTTTTTGCCCTGCCTAATTTATGGATGATCCCTTAACTTACATTACATGGAAAACAAAGTAAAAAAATTGTTTAAACTTCTAGATTTTTATTTTTTTTTTACCTTTGTTTTTTTTTTGTAAACTAATTGAATACAAGTGTCGATATCAAACTAATTAAAATTTATATTTTTGTTTTGTTTTGATTTCTTTAATATCCTAAATATATGTAGAAATATACTAAAGAATAAGAAAAAAATACTAAAGAAATATACTAAAATATTTATCTAAATAAATATTGATTGAAGACTGGAAAAAAACACAAAGATTGCTGCATCTAACAAGAGTTAAATGCGATAATCTTTGAAAACACCTCGTACTTAGTTTCCACTTCTTTTTCTTAAAGAGAGAGACTATCACATAAGAAAAACTTGCTAATTAAAGTCATTTTTTTTAGAAATTGAAGTAAAACTATTTTAAAAATATTTTGAACTGTTTCGGTTCTTGAGTAGAAAAAGTAACATTTATATCCGTTTTCTTGATGTGAAAACTATCTGAGATTCTGCATGTTTCTGGCATTGTACAAATGACATCGTTAAAAAAAGCAGAAACAATCTTATTTTATTATTTTTGCTAAAAAAAATTGGTTAGCAAACATGCATGTGAATATTGCGCATGTATTTTGGAAGAATAGCCATTTTACTTTGGGATCCAGTGTCCGAACAATAACCATGGGCAAAAAAAAAAGGTTTTAGAAAAAGGTATATCTTGGAAAAAGTTTTTTAACTCTAGAAAACCTTTTAGTGTATAAGGGTTTTCTGACAGGATTTTATTAGGAAACTCTTTCGTTAAGGTTTGTAAAATTTTTTTATAGTATTACAACCATGTCTAAATTTTTTATCACAAAAATAAACACAAAAAATAATATATAAATATTAACCAAAGGTAAAAACTTAAAAAAAACTTACCTTCGATTGTTTTTAAAATGAAATGTTTACTGGTGCGGTGTATCAGGATTAACCCTACCCAAGTAGCAAACAATATTGGCGCAATATTGGCGCGATATTGGGTATCTTGGCCTAGATTGGCCAAGATATGCAATATTGCGCCAATATTGGCAAACAATATTGCGCCAATATTGGCATATCAATATTGGCCAATATTATCATACCAATATTACGCCAATATTATTTTCCTTATATTGGAATATAATATTGGCGCAATATTGACATGCCAATATTGGCCAATATTGATATGCGAATATTGGTGCAATATTGTTTGCCAATATT